GACGCTGAATAAGGGAGGCATTAATGGTGTAATGCTAATTCAACATGACCAGGTCGGATATTCTGATTTGATGTTCTTAGTAGGTCGTTGATAAATAGAAGACTCGGTGCAAATTATTGGTTTATGATGCATGCGCTCTTGCAGTGCAAGCTAGGAGGGAACTGGTCCCGATTTATCCCTCCGATATCTGCTGCATGGCTCCGCCGCCGCAACGCGTGTTGTGCTCTCAGCCAGGCAGTTAACATTTCCTCCCGAATGCAGCAAGCCTTGCGGTGGCATGTAGTCGATTGTCGACTGTCGCCTTCGCATCGAAGTGCACCACTGCCCGCCAAGCTCACTGTACATAATACTCTAGGCTACGGTGTGTTGAGCTCAAAGTTCATGAAGTGATATGGGACTGGCATTAACTCTTTTTAGTCCACCCGGACAAAATGCATAAACGAACGGATTCTGTCCGCATTCTCCCGCTAGACTTAGGCTCGTTCACCGATGGACAATAGTGGCTGCTATTCCGATATGTGAAAAGGCAATGGCCTGATACGAAAGAAAAACATAATTGGCATTTATGTCACATAAGTGGAGATGTTGCGGCGAAAGGTGAACAGTAGTTTGCCGCAATCTATTATCGCGATCGCGATTTATGTCTTGCACGCTGTCCCAGTTTTGGTTGACTCCCTGCTGGAGAGAAACAGTCGGCTGATACGCTGGCGCCGGTGAGGCTGTGTCCGACACCTGCCTCCCTGCGATCTGCCCTCCCCCCCCCCCCCCCCCCAACGTTTGCCGTGACCCGAGGTCACCGTGTCCGTTTTCAGGGTGCGAGCTCGTGCGGCTGTTTCCCGGAGCCGGCGCGGGAGCCGGCGCGGCGTGGCCGCTGTCGCAGCTCGTGCCCCTACCTACCGCTGCTGGTGGTGGTGCAGACGGTGGCCGCCTTCTGCCTGTTCGTCGGCACCTCGCCCAGCTCCACGGCCATCGTCAGGTGCGCTCCGCTGAGCCCAGCTGATGCGCCGCGGCGGCCGGCCGCCCCAGTTACGCGCCGCCATACCAGCTCCGCGCCGCTGCAGCGCGGCGTAACTGGGGCCTGTCTGGGCTGTCTAGAAGTCTTTATTGGATACATGAGGGGCGTGAGTGAACTGCGAGCAGTTTAAATTATCACCACAGAGCTCTTCCAGCTGCTGTCTACATGCATGGAAGGGAGGCAATGCAACTCTAACCAACACGGTGGGGAAATGCTGGGAAGGAGCGGTACAAGAGGCTCGGTGCGACAACACTAGAATTCACATCCGCAAATGCCATATGCGCGGTATATAAATATTATCATCATGCAAATTTGTACCATGTTTGCTAATGCGGCGAATGATCTCCCTCCAAAATTTAAAGTTTTTTAACCGAAGGCTGCTGTCCATTGCAGCGCCATACTGCAAAGGGTTTTAAATTTTCTTTAAAAAGTTCTTCTTGTTCTGTCTTTTTGAGGGAACGTGTAACGATAGCTTACATCTCTTTGCAGAGCATGTCAGAATAGCATATCATTTTGGTTCAAGTTTAAGTTTTTTGGCGTAATCACTCCGTCAAAAGCTGTCTGCCTGACTGTGCGTTTAACTCGTGGTGTTTGTGACACTTCTCTCCCCTGCTGACTTCTCTTTACTTATGTCCGGATAAACGGCGCTGGCTTGATGCTGGCGCCCCACGGCGCAGGTTCCACCTCTGACCATTGACCTCGGACCTCTGACCTCTGGCCTCTGACTTCTTGTCTCCGACCTCTGGTCTCTGACCACTAACCGCTGCCCACTGACCTCCAACATCTTACCGTTGACCACCGACCTCTGACCGCCAACCTATGACCACTGACCTCTGATTTCTGATCGCTGACATCTGGCCTCTAGCCTTTGACTGCTGACCACTGTCCACTGATCTCTGACTGTTAAACTCTGACCGCTGACTGCTGACCTCTCTAACCCCTGACTGCCGACTGCTCACTACGACTGCCGATCACTGACTACCGACTGTTGACTGCTGAACGCTGACTGCTGACCTCTCTAACCTCTGACTGCCGACTGCCCACTACGACTGCCGATCACTGACTACCGACTGCTGACTGCTGACCGCTGACTGCCAACTGCTAACTGCTGACTGCTGACCGCTGACTGCCAACTGCTGACTGCTAGCTGCTGACTGCTAGCTGCTGACTGCTGACTGCTGACTGCTGACTGCTGACCGCTGGCCGCTGACCGCTGACCGCTGACCGCTGACCCCTGACCCCTGACCCCTGACCGTTGACCGTTGACCGTAGTCTGTTGACCGCGGTCGTAGGTCGGTGGCGCCCCGGCAGCGTTCTCTGGCGATGGGCATCTCGAGCACGGTGCTGCGCGTAGTGGGCACCATCCCTGGGCCCATTATCTTCGGAACGCTCATCGACCGCTCCTGCCTGCTGTGGGTGACGCCCTGCGACCGGCCCGGCGCCTGTCTCGTCTACGACAACTGGTGGATGAGCAGGTAAGAACTAGAAGACGTCATCTTGGTGGACGAGCGGGGTGTGGATGGCTTTGGTGCGTCGTTTTCCACTGGACGACTTCCACGTGAAAGAAAACGATGAAAAATTGGAAAAATTCCGCAATAGAGGGACTACCGTCGAAACCCGTGACCTTGTCAGACTGGGCTTTTGGGGAGTAAGCTTTAAAGATTTCGCTCAATCGCATTTGATAGTTCAAAACAAAACGACGGCTGTCGTGATTTTTCAAGGTTTGTTCAAACTGCCGTGAGTTTTCAATGCCAAAAATAAAGCCTTCAAAGACTGCAATGTGAACATTTGTCTGCGTCTGGACAGAGACTACGGTGTTAAATAACTGGACGCCGTAGTGACATTTACCGCTCCTTTTCTTCATTCCGTTATAACCGCTACGTGCACATTTCGGTGTTAAACGCCTCCGCTACCTACATGTGCTACCTACATGCTATAACCGCTACCTACATGTCTGCGGGATTAGCTGACAGAACCGGTTCGAGGCCACACCTTTCCTTGCTGTGGATGGAGAGCCTGACCGTTCCTGGCTGTGGGTGGAGAGCCCGACCGTTCCTGGCTGTGGGTGGAGAGTCCGACCGTTCCTGGCTGTGGGCGGAGGACTCGGCCCAGAGACAACCTCCCTTCCCGTTCAAGGCAAAACATTGCATTGCGGCCTGTGTCGGAGATTTTCGCCTATCGTCCGACTTTGATTGGTGCTCGAAACAAGTGGAACCGTACCCAATCAATGAGTGGAACTTCCACTCACTGTCACGGGTGTTACATTGCGTTTATGTCGCAGATATAACACCTGTGGTTAAAACATCCCCACAGCTGCGGCGCATTGTGATGGCAACGCTGCGGCACCGACAGCTAAATGTGCAGTTTGCGTTAATAACGCAATGGCGAAAAGGCACGGCTAATGTCTTACCAGCTATTCAACAACTTTTCTGCGTGAGAGATTAGCACCACGTTCCTTGCGCTGTAACGCGCAACTGCCTTTCCAGATACCTGTTGGGCGCCACGCTTTGTTGGAAATTTGCTTCATTCGTCTTCTATAACTTGGCTTGGATACTGTACAAGCCTCCCGAAGGAAGTGAAGAGTACCCGGTGGTTAAGCTGGATGGTGGTAAGGATGGTGTTAAACCGCCTTTCTCCACCGAGATGGGCTTTCTCCGCAATTGAGTGGTTATGATTATGAGATAATCTTAGGTCAAATAACTCCTTACGTATAAGCAAAACAATGATAAGAATAAGTTGTACTCAGCTTATCCCGTGCGGTGTCGCAAGACGATGTAAGTCGCGTAACACCGAGTGAAGTACCGCCCCTCCGTCGCCCACTCATTCCGTCCGTACTCACTTGGCTACGTGTAACAGCAACTTGCGGCGATTGTGTGCAAATCTGACGGCAGCTAAGATGATATCGCACGTACAAACCATCATCTGACGGCAAATAAGGCTCACCTTTGGCCGGGTGGAATAGTCCAGATACCGTTATGCCTGTATAGTTTTTGCGTCGTGCTGTGAAAAACCGCGTTACGGGAAAGACCACATCACCCGAACGATAGGATGCAAGCTTCAGGTTAACATTTTGACATGCATTCTGTAGCAGCCAGGTGACTGCTGTGGCGTCCTGGGTCTAGAACTGAACGGTGCTAATTTGTTTACCGCCGTGATTTCAGAGGGCAGGCCGACCGTAGAGGCGCTTGGTAACGGAGACGCAGTGGCGCCACCCAGCGGCGGCCTCGAGAACCCAGCCTTCGAGCCGTAGTGGAGGGCGCTGCGAGCGCCATGGTGCCGAACCGTGATGGTGGCTTCCGGTCGGGCCGCTGAGCAGCTGAGTAATGTTCTGTGCGGCGGGACAATGCTGCTGGACACGCTTCTGCCGTCCGCCGCTGAGGCTTGTGGCCCCTGCGGTGACCTTGAGCGAATTCCGTTGTGTTGTAAAAGAGTTCCAGGACATCAGCAATATTCCAGCATTCCGGGGTATCATAACACAGTGTTTTAGATGAGGCAGCTCATTTGTGACTCTATACCAAGGCGATGAAAACGAAAAGTGTATTGCTGCGGAGCGTTTGTGATGTTCTTACCAATGTTGTCCGCTCGCTTCGGCGATCAAACGGCGTTGACCGTCTTTATCTCGGGGACAGTGCGAGTGATGCGGTTAGCTTCAGTCTTCCATGCTGCGAATCTTTACAAGATGGTGAGGATGACAAGCAGATGTTTGGAAGTGAGCATGATTAGATGTGCACGATCCGTATGGTAGGATGCTCATGATTGTCCGCTCCCATAGACGCGCTGGCGCGCGTGTCTTTTTACTTACCCATGGCGGGGTTGGTCCGAGTTACATTATGCGCTCACTATTTGCCTCTGGCTGAGATGGCCTGCGGCCGGTGGCAGCGGTCGCGTTAAAGGTTAGGTGGCGTCAGAGGGCAAGACGGACCGTGTCGGGCAGCGCAGCACGTCAGGCTTTCGCCGCAAAATCTGCCCTTCGCCGGGGCCCTCGCAATCGGACGGTGGGGACGGCGCTCACGCCACAGGTGCTGCTGAGTGTAAGCGCCGACTCTATAAGTGCATCCACCCAATAGATTTAGAACAAATGTTTCAGAACGAATGGAATGAATCAATTCCAGTATCAGAACCAGGTATTTTACAGGATGCAATGCGTATTTCCACGCAAATCGCCACGAACAAAGTTGATTCAACAACTTAAACCTCATGACTGATTAAATTGGGTTACTTTCCGCTGCGAGGTTGGGCATTGTTGGTGCAGAAGGTATGCTGCATCAGACAAACGTAACACAGATTTGGAAGCTATTTCGGGGTTTGAAACCTCCCAGCTTTCACGATCCCCGCCTTCGGTGCTCCATGGGACGATGAAAGCATGTTACGGAGCAAGCAGGGTCCATCCACGTCAACGGCCAGCTCGCGTCAGGGAGCATAACATGTGTCAGCTTTACTATCTGCCCCGTTCCCATGGTTGCTATAATGTGCCTTTGACTCTCAACGCCGTGCTTCCAGGGCCGTGTGGTTGGAGGGAGTTTCGTGAAAGCTCTGCTAGGGAAGCTCGTGCTAAGATGTTATTTCATGTTTGACCCCGTGCTGCTACCTTGTTTCTGTAGCAGACCTTCCGTAGCATGGATTTGAAGCAGAGTGGTCGTTTCATTCCATTTTTGATGACTCTGAGGTGCTGTTTTGCTCTCGACATGTGTTGTCTATCACGTTCCAGCGTACATTTGTCACGTGTGGTGCACAGAGGACCCGATCCCAGCCGAACGATTCCACCATCTTCATTTATTCTAGGCTGATTCCATGGTTTAGTTCAAATGTCCTACCGTAGATAAATTCCTCAATAGCAAAAAATAAAACCTGAACATAAACAGCAGTTTACTTTGCGCACCTCCTACTCGGCGAGCGCAGGTGCGCGGCCGGCATCTTCAGCCAAGGCACGAGAGCGCTCTCTTCACACGGGCACCTTCAATGCATGAACCCGACCAATTACTCGCTGGAAAGCATGCACATCGTTTCAGCAGGTGGCTGCAACGACTTCCAGTTAAATGTAACCTTGGTAATGTCTCAGGTGGAACGCAAAACAACTTCACACTGGCCCCACCACAAGTGACTACGCGCTATTAACATTATTGGAACGTGGCTGCGGAAATGCATTGGCACCGGCCGGCCTCGCTGCTGCCAGTCTGTGATCAGTACCGCGGCTGCGCTGGGTCCCTGGCTGCACCGCCAGCCTCCTGAGGTCACGCCCCGCTCGTCATATGACCAGCGTGTTGGACAGGAGGTCATCGACGGCGCTGAGATCGCACGTGCTCTCCACTCCAACGGCCCGGGCGCCGGCCGCCGCCGCCGCCGGTCCCATTGTCCCCTCCGTCTGGACGCCCTCGGGCGGCTGCGGACGGTGGCGTCCCCTGGTGACAGCGGAGCCGGGAGCGTCCCGTCCCTGCCGCCGCTCCAGCAGCTGGTCCCGCAGCGCCTCCAGCTGGCCGAACAGCTTCTCGTTCTGGCGCTGGTGCTCCAGCGTCTTGTGCATCACGTGGTGCACGTTGGCGTTGACGGCTTCCATCTCCTGGAGGCGCGGCACGGCGGACGTCAGCGTCACGAGCTAGCGCAGTCATGCTACTGGCCGGTGACAACCGGGCCGAAGCGAACTCTGTTGCATAGTGCGAAGCTCCACGTTGAAGCTTAGCTTGCATAAGTCGAATGGTTAATGATTATAGTGAGATGACGCTTTGACACACTGATAGTCATTGTCCATTGGTAACGAGCATTGGTCGCGTGTGCTTTTCTAGCACTTCCTCAGATTCGTTGATGCTTAAAGCGTAGTTCATTTTTGTAATGCATGCTGTGGTTAGTTATGTGAGTCAAAAAAACACAACGCCCTCCCATGATGTCGCTAAAACGAAGCAGACCTCGGACACAGATGATTCTTCATCTAGTGCAAGATAATTGCGCCCGAAATGAAAGGAGTAGCCTAGCTCACCATCCACATATTCTGAAGTTGTTCATCCACTGTTTGGAACATTTCGGCGAAAGCAGCCATCTTGCCACTAGTTGTTGCCACGATGATCTGCAGGGACGTTACATTGTCCTGCGTGGGAAATCCAGGTTAGATAATGTTGTAAGAGTGCTAGAAATTGCCCGAGCTGAGCGGCTTAGCTCAGCCTGTGAAAGCTCAGTCTCCCGACGCAGGGTAATGCTCAGCCTGTGGGAGCTCGGCCCCCCGACACAGAGCAATGCTCAGCCTGCGGGAGCTCAGCCCCTCGACACAGGGCAATACTCAGCCTGCGGGAGCTCAGCCCCTCGACACAGAGCAATGCTCAGCCTGTGGGAGCTCAGCCCCTCGACACAGAGCAATGCTCAGCCTGAGGCAGCTTAACCTCTCGACACAGAGCAATGCTCAGCTTGCGTAAGCTCAGTCTCTCGACAAAGGGCAATACTCAGCCTGCGGGAGCTTAGCCTCTCGACACAGGGCAATGCTCAGCCTGTGGGAGCTTTGCCTCCCGACACAGGACAATGCTCAGCCTGCGGTAGCTCAGCCTCCCGATGCAGGGCAATGTTCAGCCTGCGGGAGCTCAGCCTCTCGACACAGGGTGATGCTCAGCCTGCGGGAGCTCAGCCTCTCGACACAGTGCAATGCTCAGCGTGCGGGAGCTTAGCCTCTCGACACGAGGCAATACTCAGCTTGCGGGAGCTTAGCGTCTCGACACAGGGTAAAGCTCAGTCAGATGTATTTCAACTCATTCTCAAGGCGGAACGCGACCTTTTTTGGTAACGAATGCAGCCGACAGCTTTCACGTGCCACAAAGCGAATGCAACATGCTAAGTTCGGTTTGAAGCGTGCCAGATAATGGCTCGCTGGGCTGCATCGCTTTTTGTCGAACTTTTCCCAAGAAGGCGGCTGGGGGCTATAAGAACGCACTGTTGAAATCACCAAAAGCCCAGAAGCTAACTACGCACAAGCCGACCACCCTCAGGACTGTGCGTCCGTCCCTGAGCCGAGACCGCCGAAGCTGACCAATCTGACCTGTATCCTGGCCATGTCGGCTCTGGCGGCTGTCATGTTCCTCTCGGTGCCGCCCAGCCGGCCTTCCAGGTCCGTGACACGGGCCGAGGTCTGCCTCAGACCTACAGAGGCCCGCTGCAGGCCCGTCAGCAGCGCCGGCAGCAGCTGGCCTGTCGGCAACGCTCGTCAGTCAAACGCATGCAGATGAGTGTTGGGGAGAGACATGGGGCCATTCGAGAGAGGCGGTAAGCGCTGTACCGATTGTCGTCAGCTCCTTGGGGTAGAGCTCGGTCGCCAATGCATGCGATAAAAAAACACCGGAATACAGCGTTAGACAGTTAAAACTCGAAAAGAGCCACGCGATGTACGTTCATGTTATCGTAATGCTTGCCATTTTCATGTGTGTGACACCACGACCGTTGGGCTCGTTGTCGCGCAAGTGACATGCTGCGGATACTGATGTCGTTAAGCGACCCACCCTCTCTGGTGAGCGTAGATGTTAGGTTTGAGAGCGAAGAGCTGCCGGTGCTGCTGCCGCCCCCAAACTCCTTCTCCAGCTGTTTGCGGGGAGCCACGAGGCTGGGCACCGAAGCCCGCTTCTGCCTGCTCAGGCACGGAGCGGCCGAGCGTCGCGATACCCCTGCTGCTCTCTGTCGGTAGATGTTGCTACTGGAGCTTAAGACACCGCCGCCAGGCGGCGACGGGCTGGCGGACCGTCGTGCGGGGGGCAGGGTGGTCTCCGACGTGGCGGCGCTGAGACACCGCCCCACCGAGGGTCGACACGGCTTCCGCGAGCCCTCCGACTCTTCGCTCGAACTGTACTCGTACACCAAGTCCCGACAGGAGGACACCATCAGACTCCTGCCGGAAACGAACGTTATAAATTAATCGGCTTACTTATTCGACGCACTGGACCATGACGTAACGTGGAGTCTCGCTGTTGTGCTGCACAAGGCAAAATAAGAGTTTGAAATCATTACAGCTTTGACCACGATAACTGCCGAGCCTCCATATCCCAAATCGCAAAGCAAGCTGCACTTTTATTCGTTCCAAGTCGCTTTGGTGATACACCGGAGGTTATATTCGCTATATTTTGATAACTGACGCACAAAAGCCAATCTACGCCGAATTAATCTGTGTCAAAAGACGCAGATGCCCGCATAGGGTCCACTCGTTGAAGTCAGGTGGTGAAGCGATCCATCCTCTCTGGTGAGCGAGGATGTCAGGTTTGAAAGCAAATCCAAATGGCGTGCCGTTCGGCTAGTCTCGGTCGTCCGGCGAGGGTCGGCAGCGAATGCTAGTCTTGGTTGCCCGGCGAGGGTCGACAGCGAATGCTAAATGTTGTGTCGTGTGTATTTCATGCCGGACACGCAAAATTTTTTGTGATCCCCGGTAATGAAACGCACAGTGAAGGTGTGACTACATCTTCACACGTAGTCAAACGCGTAATTACGTCCGGCACATGCGGGCATACCGGCAGTGTAATGGTTTATGAAGGTGTTTCACATTGGTATGGGAGTTTAAACTAAAATAGCCATCTTGAAGACCATTCGGTGCAGGTCACGGCCCTGTCCTTCTCAAGACCTTAAACCCTCTAGTTTTTTAGCTACACGCCCACGAAGATGGAAATACTTTCTCACGCAGACTATTTCACGGTCACTTAAGAATGCATGGCGCTACAGAGACGTCATTCAAATACTGATACCCCATTTGCCATACGGCGCTCAATGCCAAGCAGCATATAACCGTCGAATCGTTCATTCTAGCTTTTTGAGCATGGTTTTCCAGATATAACGTGCTTCAGCGGGCTCTCATTCAATGTTGTGCAGGTAATGCGAGTTTCGCACAGGACTGATATGATTTTGGTTGTTTGGATTAGAGCCCTTTGGACCAGAAGTGATCATTTCATTGCTGTGGGATGAAGGAGAATAAATAATGGTGGGACAGGACTACATGCGCCTGGGAGCCAACCACCGAGCCTTGGCCAGGGCAGGGACCACTCGGAGTGTGCGCTGGGCGTCCGGTCGAGGCTGCCCTTCAGGAGGCCTCTCGGCCCACTCGTCGCTGAAGCATGAAGCCTGCCCAGGTAAGCAGGGCGTCGGGAGGATTTAAGATAAAACACAAAAAAAAGAAGGAAAAAGGGCCGGATGCTTAAACAGAAATCACGTTTTGTGCTACATAAACTGCATACAAGAAGTTGGACATACGTACTTGAAATTACCGAAATAAGGCCTGCTATGTTAATAACGACGCGCAACTGAATACGAGATGCATACGGAATGTTAACGGCATTACTCCAGTTCACTACAGCAGACGTTCCGTCCAGCGTCCATGGCCGCTGCTGTCTGACAGTCCCATCTGTACCCTAAGGTTTAGCTGGCACCCAGGACCTGACAGTTGTAGACGTTCCGTCCAGCGTCCGTGGCCGCTGCTGTCTGACAGCCCCGTCTGTACCCTAAGGCTTAGCTGGCACCCAGGAGCTGACAACTTCCGTAGTAAAACCATCTCACATCATTGCAGTTCTCGCAGTTTGGCAATCCCCCAGGCGAATCAGTGTTCCCACAGCCTGCAAATTCCTCCTCACATTCTGAGAGTTTATAGTCCGACAGTTATTCGGTCTTAAACTTCATCATACTGTCCGACAGTTCCTTTAATCTGACCCTGTCATACCTGCTTTTTCGGTCCGACACCCTGCGCAGTCTGTCAGCCCCCTGCAGCATGACCGCTCCCAGTCTGATAATCCGCTACCGTCAGAATCCCACAGAATCTGTCAGGTCTCACAGCCTGACAGCGACCACTGCCTGACAAAGCCTGTGCCAGCTCGCTTGCCCTGGTTAGGGGAAGCCATCCGTCCGCCGCCGCCGGCGAGCTGTGCTGACTAGCCAGCTGACCTCATCCAATCGCGGCCACTTCTGCCCACTTGTCCCGCCAGCCGACCGTAGCCATGGCGACAGAGGTGCACCGAGCAGCGGCGCAGCGCAGGACGACGAGCCTTCAGGCATGAGTCCCCACAGCACCCGTGTGTACGGCAGCCATTGCTGAACGTGTAGCAAAAGCACGACTAATGTTTTCGTCACCGTGGGTAACAAGGCGAGAGGCGCAAGTCACCGGTTCCGGCAGACTGCTGGCGGCTCTAATGGCGGCGAGGGCGGAGGCGAGTAAGCAGGCAGGGCATCAGAGACATTGTGCTGGCCCAGAACTCCGTCAGTGGCCATTGTCAGCGGTCGGCGGGGCAGACACGCTGACGGGGTTCGGGCGGCCGAGCAGTGCGGCGACAGGTGGCGTCCGTGTGGCGCGCGCCGCCGACCCCGGCGGTCGGAGTCCGGCCGAGCTGAGACGCCGTGGACTAGGCAACACGACCCTTCCCATTCCCTCGTGTTAGGAGAGAACACGATAGCTCAACGAGGGAGCGCGGGAGCGAGACAGTGGGAGAGCGAGTGAGGGAACGTACGAGAGAGCGGGCGTGAGCGAGCGCGAGAGTGAAGGAGTGAGCGAGAGAATACTGTGTTTACAGGTTGTTGGTCTGAATTAGGAGATTGCAAGCCCGTGGGAGGTGGTATATGGTGGCGATATCCAGTGGGAAACAAAATAAGCCCGTACCAGCGAGAGCCATGGAGACGAGAGACATATAGTCAGTTTAGGACATTTTTCGGTGGGCGAGCGGCAAGTTTCGTTGATAAAAATTTGTTTGAGCTCACGGCGTACGGCGCATCGATGAGACTTCGTGTGGACACACTTGGCTTTGTGAGAGATCTAAAGCAATACTCGCAGCACACGGTCTTTGAGGCGGAACCGTCCGTTGGCGCCAGTCTGGGCTCTCCCAGCTAGTATCAATGGTGAAAATCCACGCTTTGAAACGTTTGCTATAACGACTAGATGAGTTCACAACACTTCATTGGGCTTTCCGCAAAGCACCCACCTTTGGACCCAAAATTCACTGAATGGAGGCGACGCAGATGGTAAACCTTCTTCGAAAGCGCCGGTGAAACTCCATTCCCTTTTGTGTATATTGTCCTACACTTTCATTTCAAGCTGCTTCCAAAGGGAACTTCGCGCCAACCATCTTAAAAAGCTAAAAGAAGCAAAACCCCGTTT